CCTCTGCTCCCATTGCTCACTGGAAAGTGGGTTGCTATGGTGGGGGGGGGAGGAAGGAGCTTCACCACTCCCAAGCCGATGCAGATTAGGAACACAAGCCTTAGAAAAGAAACACAGCGGTTAAATTCAGTTAGAAAAATATATATATTCAGCTGGGAGCAGGGAATTGCTCCTGGCACTGGCCTGCTGCTAAAAGGCAGCGTGGCTGTCTGGAAAGTCAGGGCGTCCAGCAGAGCTTCCCGGGGCGTGGGAGGGTGCCCAGGGCTTTCTCCGCTGGAGCCTGGGAGGAACTGGGATTTTCCACTGGGGAAGTGGCCGCACTCAGAAGGATGGTGGGTGCTGGCCGGGCCATGCCCGTACGCCTGCTGCCAGGCTTACCTGTGTGCCCACCTCCTCAAAATAGCCCTGTGGGGTCCCTTGTGGGACAAGCTGGTGGTCAGCGGGGCCACCGTCTCGCTGGGATAACTGCACAGAGGGAAAAGGACAGAAGGCTGGCTGGGTTTCTGCCCTGCCCCGAGCAGGAATCCATGGAAAAACAATTGCAGGAAGGAGAAGTCGCAGCAATGAAGCCATATTGACGCCAGATTTCTGTAAAAACAAAAGGGAAATCCGGATGTGTGAGACCTCTTCAGTTGGGGGATTCTTCTTTTCCACTGAAAAAAACCCCAATCCCAAACTGCACGCAGCATGTTTCTCACTGGGACCCGCTTTGCTGGCTTAGGTGTGAAAATAAAAATACACGTTTGTGATCTAGTTCTGCATGCACTGCATACCTCAGACTCCCTGGTACTCGGTGGGAGCACTGGGCACAGCCCAAACACACGGCTGAGCTCCAGCTCTGCATTTTCTGAAACCGTGCTGCCACTCGCCAGCATCAGCTTTCCCTCAGCGTACAGGCTGAGAGCGAACTGCGCTCAGAAAAGTTCAGCTATTTACATATTTTCCATTAAAATGCTCTTAGTTTTCTCTCCCTAGACTGTCTGCGTTGTTCCTGGTTTGCATATATTTATTTAATTGGTTGACATATTTTAATGGAGCCCCATTCCGAGTATTCGAGGATGCAAAAGTGATTACGAATGCCACAAGTGACACAGCAATTTAGTAAAACACTGAAGTGACTGTTTTAAAAATCCTGGTTAAGCTTTGGCATTGTTCCCCTCTATTTTGTCCGGGCCACATGACCAGCTTTTGGGTGCTGGTTTGGTGGGGGTTTTGTTCGCTTTTCTAGCTGCAAAAGCAAAAGGCAAGATTAAAAAAAAAGCTCATGTTTAATTTTTCAATTAAATGTCATGTTTGCTAGCGAATAGGACGGATAACGTAAGTCAGAATTACAGCTCGGGGTCAAGCCCACTGGTATTCGGAAGCGCCTTTCAGATGCTGCTCTTGGTTCATCTTGCTTCATCCTGAAAGGAAGCGAGCGGAGGGCGCAGGAAATTAGCCATCGGGTTGTGTCTTGCTGCTTGGGTCACTGTAATAATCCTTTGAAAAAGCAACTTCAAACTCAAAAATGAGCGAGTGAGGGGAACAGAAGAATTACAACCCGCTCACGCTGCTATCGAACTCCTTAAATTTCCCACTGGAGCCTTGCAGGGAGAGTACTCTTGTATCGATTAATGCCAAAAATACCTCACGTGGCTCTTGGGACTCGATCCAGCTGTGCTGCGGGAGGTGAGGGGGCCAGTTTTAGGAGGATTTGTCATCTTTTGACCTACTTTGTGTAACGAAACAAGTTTTAGAGTAGTAATCATCGAGGCACGTAACAGCATCTACAAAGTACCGAGGAGCCTGGATGGCTGCAAGCACCGTCTGCCCTTCTTGAGGGCCACGGCCTCTTACCATGAATCTAACGACCATCCAACCCTTATGCGGCGTCGGAGATCCAGCACGCCGGGGTAAATTAACTCCCTGTTCGCTCAGTCTGGTTTTGTCAGACACCCATTACGGATCTTTCCTTCCTTCCCGGGAAGAAATAGGGTTGAGTTTACGACCTACAGAAAGTTCTCAAGAGTGGCTGATCAAAGCCACGGGGAAGGCGCTGATTTTAACTTTGCAAGTATCTTTGGTATTAGCAAGAGGTTTTTTTTTTACACAGAGAACTTGCACAAGTCTATTTGGCTCCCACATGGAAAAATAAAATTCAGAGGAGCTAGCTACCTACAGTGAAGCTCATCTGACAAAATGCAAGTGCTGTTTTTGAACTCGGGTGTGGAAAAATAAAAAAGACGTATTGCTTACTCAGAATTTTAGATCAAGAAGAAAAGATCAAAGTTCTACTTTTTTTGGCATGGAAAATAGTTACGCAGTTTGTAACAGTTGGCATTTTTCAGTGTATTGTTCTAGTCTTCCTAAATGAAATACTAGGCTGCTTGAAAAATGTATCAAAACAAAATACAGGTGTCATATAAATTTGTTAGAGCAAAAAGTTACTAATAGCCCACTTACAACATGTTATCAGTAACTGTATTCGAAACAGAAATGT